CCTCTGCCGGGATTGCCCGAGTGGCCGCCTGAGGTGGGTCGTCGGGCAGAGCGCGTTTGTCGGGGTGGGCGTTCCGGGATGCTTGGAGGAAAGCGCATCTTTACAGATTTCCGTGCCATCTTTTAGTCCAGTTAATTAAAAAAAAAAAAAGGAACTTGATGTCCACATCGGCCATGACTATTATCTCCAACTTCATTTTTTCTGAATGTTTGCCTCTGTATTATTATCCAAGTCTTGCTAATGGTTCATGAAGCCAGGCTGTGAAGGGTGGAATTTTTTTTTAATAATTTTATTAAAAGAATAAAAAAATCTTAAAAAGAAGATAAAAACTAATAATAATACAAACTAATCTAAAGTAAGAAAGAAGAAAGAAAAAAGAAATCAAAGAGAAAGCTAAAAGTACAAGAAAGGGGGGAAAGCAAAAAAAAAAAAAGGGAAAAGATACAGGGAAGGATTTCTGGGTGAGGGTCTTTGGCGGACCAGACGGGCTGCGTTGCAACGGAGATCGGCGGCCAGACGGCAGATTCTGGCCAGCACCGTCTTTCCGGATAAAAGAGAGGCTGATTGTGAGGTCGCCCACGGCTGCTTCTCACCAGTAGACTGCAGGAACGGAGGTTTTTGTGGTCGACTCATGAGTTGAGCGGTTGGGAGTCGAGGGATTTCAATCAAACTCACAGCCATAATGCAGCTTATATGCACACAAGGTTCACGCGAGTCTCGCTTTGTTAAACGCTTTTGGAGGTAATTAATTTACAGCTCAAGAGATGTTTTCAGAGTGGTAGGATAAGAGAATTCCACTTGGTGAGTTGACATTCTTTCTGGACTAAAAAAAGTGGGGGGGACGGGTTTTAAAGATTTTAAAACTTTTACCAAAAAGCTTAACTTGGAGTGGATGTAAGAAAGTTTAAAACAGATAAAGGGAACTGTTTTTTTGAAAGATTATTTTTTTGGTGAAAGTGCTCTTAAATAAATTGGAATTAAAATAGACGAATGAACCAGACTTTTGTGGGAATGTTTTTTGTTCACTGTTAAAAAGTGCAGACAAATTAGTGGATTTTA